CCTACCCTTGTTGCTGGTCTCCAAGCCTCTCGGGACCTTTCTCCTTCCAGTTCTCCTCCGCAACATGTTCCCATGGAGTCTCCTGTAGTTTCAGGCACCCTTCCTTCCCAGCCTCACCCAATGTATGTTTCTCTGCCAGCTTATTTTTTTCTCTTTCTTCTAAAATTTATCTTTTTTGGAGAGACACTCTGACTGACAGATTTTCTTGTCTGCCATCTTGACTCCTCCCCTCTGATTCATCTTTTAGATCTGCATTTAAGTATTTAGTTTTTCATTTTCCTCGAGATTTTCTAGAGGACTAACTTGACAGTTTGGTAACAAAAAAAAAAAAAGGGAGCCACTGATTTTTTTTTCGCATATGGTTGTTAATGATTTAGAGATAAATTAAGCAGGTGCTCAACCCTGGCAGATGGATTAATTTGGCTTGGAACATATTACGACCTATTTTTTTTTCAAAATACAGAATTTGAAGTTTTATATTATCCTTAGGCTCATAGAAGCATTTTATCTGACCAATTTACTCTACAAATGAGAAAACTAAGGCTCAGAGAGGTTAAATAACTTCTTCAAGATGACCTGGCTATAAGCAGGAAGCCAGTAGAATCATTGTTTGAACCTCAGTACGTTGATATTTGCACCACACATTATTACATTGGTCTTCCATACATACACCCCATCAAAATGCTGAGGACAGTTTTTAATAAATCATATATATTTAGAACCAACAGAGTTACTGAATAGAAGGATTGGAGCCTATGCTCGTTAAGGCAGGACCATACACATATTCCCCAAGTAGGGTGCTCAACCCTGCCAGACAGATTAAGCAACGAGCTTTGCAGAATCCCACTTCTCTGTCCATTTTATTGTTTTTGTCATACCATGACATGATTTACAAACCAATGCTTGCCTTCACAGTCTAAGTGAGCAAAAGTGAACAAATGCTCTGTTAAACTCAACAGAAACATAACATAGCTGAAATGCCCCCAAAGAAATATTATAATCATCATTAACTAAGAACATTTCAGAACAAATCATAATAATAAAACATTATGATATAAAACCTGCCTTTCAGGGTTGTATAGAATACAACCTTCACAACCACACATGGCAACCCTGGATGAAATTGTTTTTTAAAATCTTACAACCACCAGTAAGCATCATCTCTCATCCTCCTGCAAGGAGCAGAGCAGAGGACATGACGTCCCAAACACAGACCCTGCTTTTGAAGGGAGTGGCAGAAGCAACCAGACAGCTGGGGCCTCCAGATGAGCAGGGCTGATTCTAGGGATGAAGGCACCAGAACAAAGGAGAAAGTGAACCTATTTGTACCTGAGTCTGTCCCTGCTTCACCCAGCCCACGGAACCAGTGGGGAGCTAAAGCCAACACTTTAAATCCCCACCTTCCCCACAGAAAGGTGGGCTCACTTGATTGGGGGGTCACTCACCAATCTCTGTGGCAATGGCCTGTAGTTTTTCCATCGTCCGGCTGATAAGCACAATGTTGAAACCATGTTTAGCTAGCTGGGGGTGGGAGTAGGAAAACCAAAAAAGACAAAGATAATGAGCAGACAGGGGAGGCTGGCTTTAAAGGTGACTTTGTCTCAAGGTGACGCACTTAGTTGCAGGGTGATATGCTTGCTTCACCTGGGTTTAAACGTGCAGAAAGTTTAAATGCAACAAAGGTTTCTGGGCTATGAACAAAACAGCCACAATGGGCCAAGCTAAATGTGCCATCGTAACAGCAGTTTACACTCATGCGTTTATTATGTGCCAGGAACCAGCCTACATGCTTTTCTCGTACAGGCCACGCTCTGAAAGCTGCTTATCTGAGATTCATGGGGTCAGCTGTGTGTCGGAATTCAAAACGTTGGAGATTTTATACTATATATTATGTAACAGGGTCCAGGGCAGCACCCTGTAATAAAAACAGCATTTCTACAGCAACTTTTGAGTCACTCGCTATTTACAAGGACATTCTTGTGGATCACCTGACCTGACACCCTTCTTGTGTTGACTCCCAGCAGGAAAGGAAACGGAATCGGGAGCACAGGAGAAAGAGTCGATGCTCCCTGAGACCAACAGGGCGACTCTGCAGAGTGGACAAGGCAGAGACTCGCGAGGGCTGAGTGGCGGCATGGGAGAGATTCCACGGGGGACACACACACTTGGTGTGCTGGGGGCGGGGTGGGGTGGTGTCCACAGACAGCCAGCGACTTTTCTACACCTAAAAATGCTATCGAGGAGGAAAGTTAGAGCTTTTTCTGAAAGACAAAAAGGAAAAAACCAACATTGATTTAAATAGAGACTGATAAGGTTTGAGTTAGTGACAAAGGCCCCAGTTTATTGAAATCGTTCTCTGTGGTGGTAAATGATTTATACTGCTATTCTTTTGAATTGTGGTAAAATGCACATAACATAAAATTTACCATTTCAACCAAAATATGGAATGCTTTACAAATGCGTGTGTCATCTTGGGAGCCCATGCTAACTTCTGTATTGTTCCAATTTTAGTATCTGTACTGTGGAAGCAAGCAGAATGCTGTTATTTTAAGAAGGAATTATATATTGTAGAAAACCCAGAAGATGCTGCATTATGGGCTATAATATGTAGTCTCCAATAGCCAATAATTCACTCCTCAGGCCTCTGGGTTCAGAATCACCCAAGGAGATGTCAAAAAACACCAATTCCCATGAAAATCATCCAGGTAAAAATCTCTGGGATTGAAGCCTCAGCACTTACATCTTTTTCTATTTTAATTTATTAAATTATACTAGAAAATGCACAAACACATTCACATTGTAAAGGAATCAACCAACAGGCCGGGCGCAGTGGCTCACGCCTGTAATCCTAGCTCTCTGGGAGGCCGAGGCGGGCGGATTGTTTGAGCTCAGGAGTTCGAAACCAGCCTGAGCAAGAGCAAGACCCCGTCTCTACTAAAATTAGAAAGAAATTAATTGGACAACTAAAAAATATATAGAAAAAATTAGCCGGACATGGTGGCACATGCCTGTAGTCCCAGCTACTCGGGAGGCTGAGGCAGGAGGATAGCTTGAGCCCAGGAGTTTGAGGTTGCTGTGAGCTAGGCTGATGCCACGGCACTCTAGCCCGGGCAACACAGTGAGATTCTGTCTCAAAAAAAAAAAAAAGAATCAACCAACCCCAAGGGAAAAAATGCCCCCAGTCCCCTCCAGGCCCATTTCCCCACCACCTGGGCTCCCTCTGCCTCTGCTTTGTTCTGGCTCCTTCCCTAGCTTTTCCTGCACTTACAGGCATAGATGGGTATAGATAGAAATAAATGTTTTGTGGGGCTTATTTTTTTTTATCCTGTATAAATGACATTCTAAGTAGTGTCCTGCAATATTCTTTTAAACTTGATGTATCTTATCTCTAAGAATCGGATCTATTTCCACATCAGTCCACGAAGAACCACTTGATTCTCTTTTATTGCTTCATAGCGTTTTACAGTTCACCTTTGGGCGGGCATTTAGGTTGTTTCCAAGTTTTCCTACTGCCAGTATTGCTACAGTAAAAACTCTTCTACATAGCTCTTTGTATATGTGAGTAAATTAATTCCTAGAGTAGACAGACAAGAAGAAGTGGAATTGCTGTGTCAAAGAGTGCATGCTTTTTACATTTTAATGGTATTGCCGAATTGCCCTCCTTTAAACCTGTACCATAAAATATATTATACAATTATAGCCATTTCTCCACACTCTGGCCAGTATTTGATATTAGCAACCTTTTCAACCTGATGGTTTTTCTAGCCTGATAGTATCCCTTTTCTGTTTTAATTTGCATTTCTTCAATTATCAGTGGAGCTGAGCATCTTTTCCAGTGTTTATGTGTGAATTACCAGTACATACTCTTTGCCCATTCTTCTACTGGGTTATTTATTAAAATCATTTTCTTATAAAATGGTAAGGGTTGTTTATATATTCTGGATATTCATTATTACCAACTATTTAGATAGCAAGTATCTTCTCCTTGGTTTATGGTGCCCCGCCATACATTATATATCAATTTTAATGTTATCAAATTTTGATAACATTTTCCTTATGGTCTTATATTTCCTTTATAATTTTCCCTAACTCCAAGGACACAAATACATTTTCCACAACCTTTCATAATTTATTTTTTGTTGATTTTTGAGAATGGTATGAGGTTGAAATCATCTAGCACTTTTTTTTCAAATGAGTATATAATTGTCTCAATAACATTTTTTAATTTGTCCATTTTTTGTTAATTTGAAATGTGAACTTAGTCATTTGCTAAATTCTTATGTATACATGGGGCTGTTTCTGATTTATCTGTTCTGTTCCACTGAACTATTGGTCAATCTTTGTGCCAGGGCCACTTCTGATTCAATCATAATCTTACAGTAGCCTTTGGTATCTGATGTCTGATAGAGGGAGTCCTCACCATTTATTGTTGCCTTTCAAACTGTCTTTATTTTCTTTGTTTAATCTTCCAAATAAATGATAAAGTTGCCTAATCAAGTATTATATTGAAGTTAGAGATATTTAAGGAAAAGCTTATATCTTTGCAGTAATCGGTTGTCCCATCCATAAATATGGCATCCATTTCTTCAGATCTCAGATGTCCATCTAAAAACTTGCAGAAGTTTCTTCATGTAAATCTTAGGCATTTCTTGTTAGGTTTACATTAGTTAGGATAACATTTAGCTGCTGTAACAAATACCTCCATAATTTCAGTGGCTTCACACAAAGGAAGTTTGTTTTTGTCTTATATGACAGACTCTATTTCACATAGCTATTCAGGCCCCAAGGCTGAAGGAGACTTTGTTATCTTTAACACTAGGTTTCTAAGGCTTGGATTAAGAGCAGGTGGAGAAGATACATCCCTCTCTTAATCATCTGGACCAAGAAATGACACGCATACTTTCTGCTTGACTTCATCTGCAAAATGAGTCACATGGCCCCACGTAGATGTTAGGGAATCTGTGAAGTGCCCTGGCTGGGCAGCCATCTACCAGCCTCAACTCTACACCATGGAAGAAAGAATAGGCATCTGGGTGGGCACTTAGTTGTTCCCACTAACAGTACCTTACGTTTCTTCGTTGCCATCAAGACCTGATTTATTTGGCTAGAAGAAGCTCAAGAATTAAATACTAGGCTCAGTTCCTGTTTCCACCACTTCTACCTGTCTGTACAAGTTAATTGTTCTGATGATCAAATTTTAAAAATACATTGAAAAGTGTGTGGCACAGAATCTGTCACATAGGAAAGCACTCGATAGTATCAGCTATTTTTTTCTGTATATTCTAATTTGTTATTATTTGTGCTTAGGAGCTCTTGATCCAGCCACCTAGCTGAGCTCTTTCCATATATTCTACCAGTTTGTTCATCAATGTTTGGCTTTTCACTATAGATAAAAGTATTTTCTACAAAGAGTACCACTTTGTTCCTATTTTTCCAATATTTGCGTATTTTTGGCCTCATTATCTTGGCTAACATCTCCTACACAATGTTAAGCAGTTGTGGTAATGGCAAACATATTTGTCTTGTGCCTTACCATCATGAAGCATGATGTTTGCTGTCATTTCTGATACATATCTTTTATCAATTTAAGAACATTTTCATCTTTCCTTTTCTCCAATTTTTTTAAATTTATTTATTTACTTTTGAGACAGGGTCTTGCTATGTTGCTCAGGTTGGAGTGCAATGGCATGATCACAGCTCATTCCAACCTCAAACTCCTGGGCTCAAGGGATCCTCCTGCCTCAACCTCCAGAGTAGCTGGGACTACAGGTACACACCACCCTGCCCAGCTAATTTTTAAATTTTTTTGTAGAGGGTGTCACACTATACTGTCCAGGCTGGTCTTGAACTCCTGGCCTCAAGTGATCCTCCCACCTTGGCCTCCCAGAGTGTGGGATTACATGTGTGAGTCACTGCACCTGGCTTACTTTTTTTTTTTTAAATAAATTTTTGGATTCAGTTTGCAAATATTTAACTTAGATCATAATTCTCTGATGCTAACTTTGTCCTATTTTGGTATCAGAGCCAAGCTAATCTGTCTAAACAGTTTATGAAATATGTAGGGTGATCAACTTGTCTCAGGAGTATCCCAATTTTAAAACTGAAAGTCCCACAGCCCAGGAACCCTCCAGACCCAGGAAAATCAAGATGGCTGATCATCCTAGAAACATGGGGCTTTTTCTTATTCCTTGAAGATTTGGTAATATTTACTTATAAAAATACCAGGGCATTTTATTTAGGTGTAGCTCTCCTTACTGCCTTTTCCATTTCTTCTGTGACTAATCTGATGCTTTTCTACTTCTTGGGCCAACTTTGATCATTTGATTTCCACAGAAAATTCTTCACTTTGTCTAGATTTTCAATTTCTTGGTACAAAGATTTAAACAGTATTTTCTTTCTCTTTTTCTTCTTCTTCTTTTTTTTAAAAAAATTTCCTTATCCATAGCTAGGTTCCTAAAGTTGTTCCTTCTCTTAATTTAAGATTTTTCAAAGATTTGTCTACTTTTCTGGACTTTTTAAAG